CAACCGAGCCGGTCCCCGTCCTCTCACCTAGGCGAGCGACCGGGGCAGCCCGGAACCGTCCGGCCTCTCATCGGAGGTCGCCAAGGGCCCTTGGCCGCGGGGCAGCGACGAGCGTCCGCGGCCTGCCGAGCTGAGCCCGCGCGCAGCCCCTCCAGCCGCCGCCGCCGCCGCAGGTCCAGCCCGCCACCCGAGGTCCGGCCGGGCCCAGACCGCAGAGGGAGGCGGAGGATGGGGCGGGGGTCAGCGCTGAGGCCCGGCGGCACTGCGGCTGCGTCAACGGGTAACGTCCTACCTCACGGCGCCGGCGCCTGGAGGCACGCCAGCCGAGCCCCGCCCACGAATCCTAGCCCCGCCCACAAACCCGAACCCCGCCCACGAATCCGCGGCACTGAGCCCCGGCCCCACCTCTCCCCCTCCCCACCGCGGGGCTGGGGGCGGAGCGGGCCGAGAGGCACAAATTGTAATGGAAAAAGCTGGCAACAGTCTTTTAACTCTGCGGAAGCTTCCTGGTTGCCTGGAGCAGATATGAAATATGCACATAAGGCTAGTAGACCGCCTAGCCGCGGTGGCTCAGGAAGCCACGATTGGGTTCCTTGGTCAAGGCACATGCCCGGGTTGCAGGTTTGGTCCCCAGTGTGGGGCGTTCAGGACGCAGTTGGTCAAGGATTGTCTCTCATTGATGTTTCTATCTCTCTACATCTCCCTTTCTCTCTGAAATCAATAAAATGTATTTTAAAAAAAAAAGACAAGTAGATATGCAATTACACAGTGTTAAGTATGGGCCGGGTGCTTTTCTAAGCACTTAATCTTATCTAAACCCTTATCCCCATTTATTTGCACTTCACAAATTAAAAACGCGGGTATAGTGAGGGTTATATATCCATCACCTCACAGCGTTGCAATTTCTTGTGTGTTTAGTGAGAACTTCCAAAATCTGCTCTCTAGTAACCTTTCAGAAAATTTACCATCTATTCAGCTATTCAGAAAGTTGTTAGAGCTTGAACTCTCAGGAGAAAAGTCAAAAGCCAGATGTGAAGTCAAATAATTAGATATAACCAAAGTATCAATTTCAACTTATAACTTAGCCGGTGAAATAAGTTATTAAAATAATAGCCTAGTAATTAGTTATAAATTCTGAGACTTATCAAGTGCTCAATAATATAGAAAAAGCTTTATTTGCATAGTACATTTCTTTCAGACAACAACACCAGAGGCAGGAATACAATATTCCTCTCAAAGGTGAACCAAACTAGGACAAAAAATGTCCAAGTAATTTGCTCATGATCATTACCTCTAAAAAGAAGTTATTTGATAAGAAGAGACTTCAGAGCCCACAATCATGATTTTGTTGGTTTCCATGTGTTTTTTTTTTACCATGGAAATTTCCAAATATTTACAAAGGAAAAGAGAAATGATCCCTCAAGTATATCTTACCTAACCACATCAATTAGCAATATATACCCCATTTGGCTTATTCAAAGCACTCAATTCCCAGACCCCAAATGAATTTAATATCTTTCTTTAGGTTTCATTAAATCATCAACAGTTCCCCCTTCCTGTTTTATTTTTGTCTATTATTTGTTGATAAAATGCTTATTTTCCCAAATCATTTTCAACATCCTGGAATATTTCATTACAATAGTATAGTCAATGAACTTGTTCTTCTGGCTTGTATTTTCTACAAAATAAAAGTTCAATTGAATTCTAGTTTAATATATATATATATAAACATGCCTTTGGAATGTCAAAGTAACATCTCTTTTTTGGGGCCCCTTTGGGCACAATCCTCAGACCAGGGAGGAGACCACAAATCCCATCATTGTTGATTGAGTTAATTGTTGACTGCTAACTATCCAGTACCCACCTGTATAAAAGAAGTATGAGTCTATCATTTTACTTTTTATGCAATCCCAGTAATCCTCTCCACTTCCCACCTGCTTTCCCTATCCTTCCCTTACAGCCCACACCCCTCCCTGATCTACCACCAATGGATTTCAGATAACCCGCTTACACCTCCTCTTTTTATTATAATGCCTAAAATAAGGCGCAAAACTGCCATTTCTCAGAGCACTTTCTCAATCTGTTGAGATTTTGCTTCCTGACAATTGTGGTCAGTTTGGCTCAAATAAACCCACATAAATTCTCTACAGGTTTGTATGCTTCTTACATTTGACATTACACACAATAGAAACTGTGGGTTCTTAAAACTGCAAAATACATTCCAGGTAAATCCCTTAATGGATGCTCACTAGCTCTCAGACTTTACTCTGTCTTGGTTAAATAAAATCAACCCCCAGGGACAATGGGAAGAACTTTGTTAGGCAAACATCCAGTTTCCAGATATGCCCGGAAACGTCCTTTTTTGTTGTGTTATTCTGATAAAGAACGCAAGCCTTAAAAAAGATGAGCACCCCTGAGCTTGTTTTCTGAGACATCCTCTTTATTTACCCCAATCCATTTTTAGACTGGAAGCTCCTAAAGGCTTGGACAAATACCACGTTCCCTGAACTGGCCCCAGCACCACCACGGAGCAGATTTGTGGACTCCATCTGGGGTTGATGTCCTAGGGTAGGGCCAGCGGCCAAAGTGCGCTGGTGCTGGTCCACTTGAGAGGGAGAGCAGAAAACGGGGCCATGGCTGGCTCGGCCCAGAGGTGCCGCACTACCCCCAAAGGAGTAAACAAAAGCCACAGGATTAGGCTAAGCAGGGAACAGACTTTTCCTACTGAGGCGCCGCCAGGGTCTCACCTGGGCTCGGGGCGGGAGGGACCTGGGCCGCGCAGGCGCAGTGTGAAGGGCCCGTGACGTCACATTCGGGGCGGGGCGTGGAGCGCGCGCGAGGCTTTGTCACGCAGGCGCGTTTGCGTGGCGGAGGCGGAGCTGGGAGCCGCCTGGGGATTTTAGGAAGACGGCGCTGCCGCCATTTTGCCAGCTTTTTGTCGCAGCGGCCGAGAGGTCAGGCGGTGGGTTGGCTTCATTGCTCGGCAAAGGGCCTTTTGCTTTAGCAGAGGTAAGGTTTCGGGTGGGGTGTGCTGGGCTGAGCGGCATCCCGTTCTTTCTAGGTGTCGAAGTCAGGTGTGTCGGAGAAACCACCGGGTTAGGGCCTCGGCGACTGGGGTTCCTTCCGGACACGACTCCTCCGCTGGTTGGCTTTAAAATCGAAGGGCGCGGAGGTGGTGCGGTAGATTTAATGTCCTGGGCCGAAAGACCGAGGTTCTGCCAAGGACTCCTCTTCCCGGAGGGGCCTGGCTGCTCGCCTCGCGGCTCGGGAGGCTCCGGCTCCGCCGAGGAGGCGAAAGGAGGGTCTGGAGGCCCTTTGGGAAGCCGCCTTTCGGGCCTCTGTTGTCGGAGCTCGAGCTGTTCGGGACCCGGGTTTTCCCGGAAGAAACCTTTGTCCCTGCCTGTCAGGGTGCCAGAGGCTGGCCGGGTGCGCCGGAGGGGGGACCGGGCGGCCGAGGAACACGTCCTGGTGTTTCTTTAGCTGCGAGGGGTGGAAACGTGCAGAGGTTTGTCCTTCGTGCGGCCCTGCTTTTCGGTGGAGCCTACCTTTGTTGCAGCAGATCTGCATGCACTTCTGACACTTTGCATTTCCCTTGAACAATATCTTGTGACTCTAGAACTTGGGGTTCTTTATTAGTCTAATAATTCTAGGTGTTTGTTTTTTTGGGGGTTTTTTTGGTTGTTTTTTTTTTTTTTTTTTTTGCCTAACCCATCGAATGTGAGTCCAGGATTCTTCTCTTAACTAACCTGAGAAAACCTTTCTGAACGTTAAGGGAGGTGGGGGGAGAGGGACACTTTCTAATAGGAGAATTAAATTTAAAGTAGTGAATTTGTTTAGAGAAACAAAAATACTTGGTTTTCCTGAGATACTTATTTAAATTTTAGTATTTGCATATTGATAACTTTGGTTATGTGAGAGGTCTGCCTTGTTAGAGGTGAGCTGGTTGTGTGGCAGACTGATGGTGGATTGGGGGAAACAGTTAAAGCAGATATATAAGTTTTGCAACAACTGCATAGGAATGACTATGTCAATCATATGTTGTAATTTTGCTTGATGTTATGTAAGAGCGCTTAGCTACCTCTGCTTTAAAGAGTTTCTAATGTTAAAATGTAATTTTGGTAATTGAAGGGTGGAGAGATTTAGAGAACGGAACTCTCATGCTTGAGAAAAAGAAGCTTCATTGATGGCTCTATACTTTTTTTTTTTTTCTCTCCTCGTTAATCCTCAACTGAGGATATTGTTTTTATTGATTTTTTTTTTAAGGAGTGGAAGAGGGGAGACTTAAAGAGTGAGCCTGCGGCCAAGGTACATGTGCCCTTGATTGAATCCCGCCACCCTTCTATCTGCAGGCTGATTCTCTAAACCACTGAGCCAAACCGGCTAGGGCTATAGCTCTATACTTCTTCACAGAGTCATCTTTATTTAGTATCCCTAGGTGTTTCTCTGACTGAAGCTATTTGTGTTGCAGAACTTTGCCAGAGCTGCATGACACTTGGAATAGTATTTCCCTTTTTGTTTCATATTTAAAAGGAATCATAGAAATAACTTAATTAGCAGATTGGTACTGATTTACTGTAATGTAATGGTACAAATAAATTAAGACCAAAAATAGTTATTAATTTCTGGCTAGATACTGTTGAAGGCTCTAAGACTGAGCCGTGGTTCTTTTTATATTTTTAAAATATTATTAGGAAGTGTTAGTTGAAGACAAGCACCAAGCTGAAAATTTTTATCCAGAAGAATTGAAAGAAAATACATTAAGATCTCACAGTGTAATTCATGACTTAGTCCTAGACCTGTATTCATGCCACTTAAAATCATCTGACATACCAATGGAATAGTACCCCATGCCTTGGGAAACTGCCTACAAAAGATTTTAGTACCTGTTTGACCCCCATGTTCGGGGTATTTGTATTTAAATAATATTAATGTATGTTATTTTATTTGCTAAACATAATCATATATAACCTCCACAACTCACTTTTTGTTTCCATTAACAGATGCGGCATTCCAAAAGAACTCACTGCCCTCATTGGGATGGTAGAGAGCGCTGGAGCCAGGAAAGCTACAGTGGGAGCCACAAACGGAAGAGGAGATCCCACAGTAGTACACAAGAGAACAGACATTGTGAACCACATCACCCGTTTAAAGAATCTGATTGGTAAATTGAATTAGGAGCATTTTAACATAATAGCTTAGTGATTTATTATTAACATGTAGTTTTCATCTGTCAATTATTTTATAATTCAATCAAATATTCACAAATTAATGAATGCATATTATATGCTAGACACTATATGTGCTGAGGCTAAAGCTATGAGTAAAACAGTTTTTCTACCCTTATATCTGTGTACGTGTCTCTGGGAATAGTGGGAACAGTTCAGTTCAGGCTGTCAGTAATGTAGGGGGATAAGACACAAAAGGTTGATACTGATAATAGGATACTACTCAGTGCCTTAAACTTGTATATGTGAGTGAGATATGTATGTTAGAGTGCTCCTTTAATGTTCAATGAATGAGGGTCAGGGAGACTATAACTCCAGATTAAAAAACAGCATATACTATTCAGTTATGTTCAAATACATTGGGGATTTGTTGATTAGACCGGTGGTTGGCAAACTGTGGCTCCAGAGCCTCAGGCAGCTCTTTGGCCCCTTGAGTGTGGCTCTTCCACAGTATACCAGGTACAGGCGCGCAGTATAGTACAATTGAAACTTCGAGGGCCATGCGCAAAAGTCAATTTTTGGCTCTCAAAAGAAATTTCAATTTTTGTACTATTGATATTTGGCTTTGTTGATTAATGAGTTTGCAGACCACTGGCTTAGACTATGTTTAACAGATTGTTTTTGTAGATAAAGCCAGTAGTGGATATATTTGGGGTTTTTAGAAGTGTGGTTATTAAAAAGATCATTCCTTTGTACAGATAGCAGCCAATAATTTAGTACAGGGTCTCAATAAAAATTTCTAATGTGTTTTGTTTTAGTGTATTTTTACTAGTGTAAAATTTGGAAGTAATAGAGAATTTAAGGAATTTAAAAGTTCTTAGATGTTTAAAAAAGGCTAGGTGAATAGAGTTTCTATCATCCTGTCTTCCATTAATTTTCTTTTCTCATTTGTTTTGTTGGTCCTATGTTTTCTCCATGTTTTGTGCAGATGTTCCATTGGGACTGTTTACGAGATTTCTTTCTAAATTAGCCAGCTGGGGTTACTTTAAAAAACAGTATGTAATCTTTTTTCTTCTCTGTCCTAAAACAGACTTGTAATGTAGAACAGTGAACTTGATGGTTGCAGGTTGATCATTCTTCATTACACTGTTACACTGTTATTTGGGAGGAAGGGGGTGGCTTATGATAGGACTTCAATGACCTGAGCTAATTAATGTACAATAGAAAAGCAAATGTACCCTATTATTAATAAAATACTCGGTAAGGCTTAATATCGTAATAATAATCACTCAGGTCTACTATACATTGTTTACATCATGATTTCAGTGATAAACTTCATTCATTTCATAATTAACTACATAAACAGAATACTAAATCCAATTAACCACCAGGCCAATAGCTTCTTTGACTTTGGGACTGGAAAGGTCTGGTGGTGATTGCTCTCCATAATCTAGAATATTCTAATAGTCTTTTTGGAGATTAAAATCTTTAAAAGAGCGTGTTTTATAAAATCTTTTAAAAATGCAGAAAAGTGTAAAGAAGGTAACTTGCCATTGCTTGGATATAAATTATTTCTAATTGTTCTTAAAATAATATATACAAATCATGCCTCTTGATTATTTTTTGAAAATAGATTCTAAGGGCTATTTTCAAGTTAAAGGGTATAAACCCTTCTGCATATTAATGTCTTTTTCTAGGAATTTTATACCAACTTATATTCCTTTCCCTCACCACTTTTGGCTATTTTCAAATGCCAAAAATGGAGTTCTGTGTGATTTTTGTTAATTTCTAGTGAATTTATTCACTGTCATATTTATTGACCACTTGAACATTATTTTTTGTATTCTTAGCATATTTTTCTACTAAAATGTATTTTTTTAATGACTTATGAAAACTTAATGTATATCAATTATTTTACCTTTTTATGTATTGCAAAGTGGCTTTTCTTTCTATTTGTCTTTTGGCAGTAGCCTGTCAATTGGTATCCTTTTCTACAAATTTAAATCAATCAATTATGCACAGTGTATTAGGAAGAGTGAAGTGGCTGTTGTAAACACCACCTTTATATATTGTGGTAAAAATCCTTAAATTCTTTCTTAACATTGTATCAATGATTCTCAAACTTTAATGTGAATAAAATAATCTTTGAGTTATGTTTAAAATGAGTATTACAGATTTTGATTGAGACCTGGGGCCCAGTGATCTTCATTTTTAATAATTCCATTTTTTTTATATTGCTGATAACCCAACCACCCTTTGAGAAATCCTAAATTTATAAAGTCCTTAGCCTGGCATGCAAGATGTTGGATGGTCTCTTCCCAGTTTATTTATTTGCCTATGTTTTCCTGTGTGAAAATTGCTCTCGTTTGAATTGTCTACTTTTTCCTGATTAATGCATAGACAAACCCACCTCTCTAAGCCATTGTGGCTAGAAGTGCTCTGTGAATATATAAAATGGAAGTATGCCATTCTTTCCCCTGTCATTTCTACTTTCCATTTTGTCAAGACCCCGACTTCCCTTAAATGTAGCTCTTCCTTTATCATGAAGTCTTCCCTGCCCATTTTCAGAAGCTTAAGTGCTTTCCCTATTCTGACCCTCAGCACTCATATGCAACCTTTCAGCATTTCTGGCATTGTTGTGCTTTATTTTTATGTGAGTAATCTCAAACAGTCCATTTGTTGGCAGGGCTTTGGCCATATATGTATATATTATCTTCTACAGGTCCTATATGTAAATACAAACAAATGTCAATAGCCTCATTAATCTTGGCTATTTTGAAGGACTACAGTGGGCATTTAGTGAACATTTTTAGAGATTAAATCTTTTCATCCTGTTCACTCTGTGCAGAGCCTCTATAATTCTATACACTTTATGTATATATTATACTCTCTAAGCCTTGGTTGCTACAGATTAAAGAGGTCCTCATCTTTTTAGTTTATCCTCATGGTATGACTTCACCTCATGTTTGTTATTCTATAGATTGTTCATGGATTGTGAGCAGGTCTAATTTCATGCATTAATCCAGTTAAAGATTATTTGTGTTTTTTTCTGATAGGAAGACTTTGGGCTTTTATGGGAAGGATGCCTTCAAGAGTATAATTTTAGTTTGATCTCTCTCTGATAGGTATAAGCCAACTGATTAGACCCCTGATCTAGACCCATAGCTTTACCTTAATATCCTGAGTTGTTTTTCCAATAGGGAAAACTTAAGACATTGGGGAAAGGGAAAAGAGGGTTTCTGCATCTCCGCAACCTGTATATGATGCCAGTTCTGTTGTGTAGTAATTTTAGAGATGCCTCTTTTTATTTCTACCTAAACCTGCCCCCTGAAAAAAGGATAGCAGCATATTATGGGGAAAGCAAAGGGGTTGGTGAGGGCAATCTAGTCAACATCTGTCACTCCATTGCTTGTCAGGATTATTTTAGCTGATTTGTCTGACTGGGCAGGTGTCCCCTCTCTCCCTCAGTGCTCCAAGTGCATCCTCTTGAAGCTTCGCACTCTGTTGAAGAGGACACTCAACCCAGGTAGAGAGGGGGGCGGGAAACCGGGCCAATTGAATCTGTGTCCTTTTCTTTCCATCTTTTCAAGGCTACTTAACTGGGATACATTGACTTGCTGAGGTCTATGATCTCTGAAATTCCTTACCAAGTTTTGTTTATTCATTGGTGCATTTCTTGGTGAAATAGGGTCCAGATCTTTCCTTAGATTTTCAAAGGTATCTGTAGGTTCAGAAGTTAACCACTGTGGCACTAAATGAAGCTGTTTTCTATATAGAATTCTTGTGTATTTTATTTACAAGCAGACATAATAGGATATTAGAAATGCAAAAAGGGTAGGTGTGGTGGGTTTCTTGTAACTCTAGGTAAGCAATTACAAGATCCCTTTCTCATTTGAAGAGGATATACTCTAGATGTCTTTGGCACATGAAGCAATCTTCAAAAGCTACTTTTGTCTACTTCTCAAAGGAATGACAGGAAGCTAGAAATAAAAAAAGGAAAGGACATAGGATAGGTGATAAAATTCGTGCATTTAATCAATCTGATGCAATTTTGTAAATTTTTTGTTTTAACTTTTTCCAATAGGCAAAGGGACATTTATCAAGTAAACACTGAACATAATGGAATGATTTGTCTCAAGCTTTGTTTCTAGATTTTAGGTGCTTAACAGAAGTCTGTATAAAGAGAAATATGAACCCAGTTGCTTATTGGTTAAAGAAAAATTATTTCTTAAGTTTTATAAGTATAAATTCTAATTCATCAATTTTAATTTTTTTTCTTGAGTTAGCTGTTTAAACCAGGAATTCTTGAGAAAATGTTTTGTTTGAACCACATTACTCTAGAATGAAGAGAATGATTTGAAATCTTCTAATGTATTTGCAGTCATTATTTAGAAGCAAGATCCTTGAATGAGAGAGATTATCGGGACAGGAGATACATTGATGAATACAGAAATGAGTACTGCGAAAGATACGTTCCTAGGCATTATCACAGAGATGTTGAAAGCAGTTACCGAATCCACTGCAGTAAATCTTCGGTCCGAAGCAGGAGAAGCAGTCCTAAAAGGAAGCATAATAGACTCTGTTCAAGTCATCAGTCACATTCGGTATGAGTGATTTTGTTTTTATTTGGGGGTGGATATTTATTTGTGGATAAAGCTCTTAATGAGCCAGTAAGTTTGGAAAATGTATATAATACTTGAATTATATTGTATATTGTGTTTATATTACTTGAATCCTTAAAGAAAACTTCCAAATGCTCATAACTAATCTGTATTTATTAGTTCTCATTTGCCCATATTAATCATTTCATTTCCCATAAACCACATCACAAGTTTCTTGATTTGATTACTAAAAATATTGTTTTTATGTTTTATAATAAAATTTTATGAAATAATGAACCCCATATTTTATTTTGAATTTATTTTATTTTTTTTTTTACTTTAAAAGAAACCCTTTTTCTGATACTTAGAAGCAAATATAGAAAGTTGCACAGGTTAATACCCATACTTAAATGCCCTTATATTATAGTCCTATAGCACACTGCATTATTGTCTGCAACTAGTTCCATTGAAGTTTTGAAAATGGGTGCTGAATGGGAAATGTATTTTTAAAAACCTGCCCTTTTTTTAAACTCTCAGCTATTTGATCAGTAATATTTGAAATACTGTTTTTCTCTCCAACTTTTCTTCAGTAAAACTAGCTTTGATGAGATTGAACATTTAAATTAACCAGCCGTTATTTTTCCCTTTTATTTTAATTATGTATATTTGAATATATTGCTAAATAATTTCAACTAATCTTGGACATTTTAAAACATTTTTCTGACAAACTAGACATTTCAACTCACAGCATATGCTATTTTATAGCAAGAGATTAATAGAACAATACATTGCATTCTTTAATTTCAGACTTCAATTAAATCAGTATTTTAAAGAGACAATTGTGTTGTTTTTTTTCTATTGCCACTTTAAGTATCTTATCTGAAAATCTGTTCCTTGCCATGTTTTTCTTCTGTAACATAAACTGTGCCCTGTGAATTTCTGGGGACTGAATTTGAAATTGCTCCTGCCAACTGTTCGTGGCCTGGTGCTTATCTGAATGCCTGAATATCTCCCCGCTGAATGAATTGCGTATTCTGCCCTGAATTCACTCTGATATATTGATTGGCTGGACGATCTTGGTGCTGCCCACTTGCCGTTCCAGAAGAGCCACCGAAGGAAAAGATCCAGGAGTATAGAGGATGATGAGGAGGGTCACCTGATCTGTCAAAGTGGAGACGTTCTAAGAGCAAGATGTATAGAATATTTTTCAACACTTTTTAAACTTTGCAGACAGAATAATCTTTTTAAGAATAGATTGTCAGCGGGGGGCTAAAGAATTCTTCATTCTTTGTTTTTTGGTGTTTTATTTGTTTTGTTTTTTTGGTGGGTTTGTTATTTTATATTTCTTTTCTGTAGTATTTAAATATTTCTACTCTAAAGCTCCAAAATAATCAGTGAAATTTGAGATTAGATCAAGAAAGATAGCTCTATTTAATTGTCTTTGTAGCAGCTGAAAATAAAATAATTTGAGTGCTAAAATCTTAGTTATGCTTTGATAGAGAATCATTTGAAAATATTCCACACTTAAGCATTCATTGTTTAAATAACTAGATGATTAGTACTCAGGTGCTTATACTAACTCTTTCTTCCCCCCTCACTTTAGATGAAATTGTGGACACTCTAGGTGAAGGGGCCTTTGGCAAAGTTGTAGAATGCATTGATCATGGCATGTAAGTGGTTTTTTTCTTGTGCATTCTGATACTTTCGGTGAGAAAGGATCCATCATGATGAAGTGATGTTTTGAATGATAGTTATTTTCTTGATGTATAAATATTCAAAATTTTTTGAACTATGTGAATGATTTGCTTACCATGAGTGTGAATTTTGACCAAGAATGCTTACAAATTCTGTGAGATGTAGTTTATTTATATTAAAATAACATTTACAGGTGAAGAGTATTTCCCTTAGGCCCTTAGTGCTGTGTAAGAAAATCAGAGTGCTTTACTTTACTTTTGAATTGCAGAGATAAAGCATATCCAATCTTGGTTCAAAAACATTATTCCCAAAGTTTTCATGTTAGAGTTAACTTCTTAAACTATAAAGACACTAGAGGCCTAGTGCATGAATTTGTGCATGTAAGGAGAGGGGGATTGTCCCTCAGCCCCACTTGTACTTAAGTTACAGGTGCCTCAATTTGAATCTCACTGCTCTGTACTATAGCTAATTCAGCCTGTTTGCACTAGTGAATGTGATAAACATATTCTTAACTTCATGATTTATTGATGGTGTCTGTTTGGCCAAATGTTCTCTTTCCCTGCTAATTCTGACAAATAGGCATATACCACCTCTTCTCTAAAGAAGTCTGAGCTTCCTTAATCCCCAGTGGTTTGGCTCGCCCTCCTCTACTCCATTGTACCTCATACCAGGCAACTTACAATAAGTTGGTCATATCTCTTTTCCTTTGGGCTATTTGGTATGCGTGGTCAAGTCCTGCCTTTTTCATCATTATCACATAATCACATTATCTGGCACAGAGTGAGTCTAGCCTGGTAAAGAGCAAATGCTTTGAGGAGTAGCATATTCTATTTGAGGTCTATTGTTTCATTAATGTTTGTATAAAATCTAGATAAATTTAAAATTCTGGAAACATTAAAATTCATCAGTATTAAGGGAAGCATTCCAATAAAGGTGTATTTTGTCAAAATGTTTTAAAAAGATGTTTTATGGAATCTGGTATCGTATTTTAGAAAAATAGTATTAGAGTGATACTTAATAAGGTTATGCTTTAGAGGCTGCATGTTTTCATCCTTCTTCTCTATATTTACCATTTTCATAATTTTTTTTAAGGGATGGCATACATGTAGCAGTGAAAATCGTAAAAAATGTAGGTCGATACCGTGAAGCAGCTCGTTCAGAAATCCAAGTATTGGAGCATTTAAATACTACTGACCCTAACAGTGTTTTGTAAGTATAAACTTGAAGTATGATCCATCATGTTATATAAAATAATCAGAATTCTGTGCACTGACTTATTTTTATTTTTATCTATTTTAGCCGATGTGTCCAGATGCTAGAATGGTTTGATCACCATGGTCATGTTTGTATTGTATTTGAATTGCTGGGACTTAGTACCTATGATTTCATTAAAGAAAATAGCTTTCTACCATTTCAAATTGATCACATCAGGCAGATGGCTTATCAGATCTGCCAGTCAATAAATTGTAAGTATACTTGATAAATTCTTAAACATCAGAATTTTTTAAAAAATATTTTTATTAATTTTAGAGGAAGGGAGAGGGAAAGAAAGATAAAAACATCGATGTATTAAAACGTGGTGACTAAAACTGAGTATTGTTAAGATAAAACCCTTCTTGACCCTGTATCCACTATTAATTTTTCCTTCTCCTAAATAAATTTGTAAATGAAACTTTATAATGTGTTTTTGTTCTCTTATAGTTTTGCATCATAATAAGTTAACTCATACAGATCTGAAGCCTGAAAATATTTTATTTGTGAAGTCTGACTATGTAGTCAAATATAATTCTAAAATGGTAAGTTAAAACTTGTTTTAATTTTGGTGATTCTTTAAAATTAATTTAGCTTGTTGATCATTGTATGAGGAATTTTGCTTCTGATGCTTATTCTTATCCTTATATTAAGCCCAAAAAGGATATCTTTGTTTGCCTTTCTCACAGGGCTGTGTTGAAAGTAAAAAAAAAAATAATGCAAGCCTTTTGTATAGTGCTATAAAAGATTTCATATCTTTATTGATCTTCATGTGTACTCAACTGTCTCTCTCTAGAAACGTGATGAACGCACACTGAAAAACACAGACATCAAAGTTGTTGACTTTGGAAGTGCAACATATGATGATGAACATCATAGTACTTTGGTATCTACACGGCATTACAGAGCTCCAGAGGTCATTTTGGGTCAGTAGACACCAGACTTCCTGATATTGTAATTGAAGAAGAGGGTTTTGTTCTTTAAGCTTTGCCAGTGGGCGGGTGATGCAGTATACAGAAAATGCTTTGCTAATTTCATAAAAAGAATCAAAATTACTGTAAACACTTTTCCTGAGTGGGGAAAATATGATACCATCTGTGAAAATACATCAGGTGATAGTTATTTTTGAGCACGTTAATCCTCTGAGATTATAAGAACAGACTGTATTGGCTAAGTACATCACAGCAATGTGATTTTGAAGTGATGTATCTATTTTTGTGTCATCAAAGCATGGTGCTGGTAAAAATCCTAATGATTTTGTTAGCGGACATCTAAATGTAGGGTGAAGGGAAGTTAAGAGGAAAAGAAAGCAGAGCTAGTTTAAAGGAGAGCTTTGAAAGTCTATCACATGGTAAAGGCTGGAAAATAAAATGAGTTAAGGTGCCGGTTTAAAATAACAATTCAGTAATGGAGCATGCATCAAAATGTAAAAGTTAGAGACCAAGTTATGTTAATAGAGCTGGGAATTCAGGGATGTGTTTGGGGGCTTGGAGATAGTGGGGAAAGTTCAGATCAGGTGCGGTGGGGAAGCACTTAAATGGGATAATCTTACTTGGCCATAAGTAAGGTCCAACTGAGAGGTCGGATAGTAAAATATTTTTTAGAGCTCAAAAGGAGGGAATTTCCTGGATTTTAACAACTTAAATTCAGAATTTTCTACGCAAAACAATGGACATTTCTTTGTAATTGATATGTACAACATTGGTGTGTCTCACACTTAATGGCCTCCTAGCTTGGATAAAATATAGTAGTTTTCAGTAATAAACATTACAGGTGTGGCCAAGCTAGGGATAGTTGGTATAAATTGGAAATTGTATTATTGACCTTGACAAAAGAGATCACATTGGGAGATTAGAAGGGTCCTCTGTGTGTTTGTGGAGTATTTATTGTGAGGATTAAGGCAGAATTAGGTAGGAGAGGAAGATGTATTCTGGTGCCACAAATGAGGTCAGTTGATCTCAGGTTTGAGGTTTTTGGTAATAAAGTTGAGACTGGTAAAAGAGAATGTGGTGGAATTCCAAAGAGAATGAGAACTGACTCATCAGAATGGGATGATGTAGAGCAGTGTGCTACAGTTACAGTCAGCTGGGGTAAAGCTAGACTGAGAGGTAGGAGTGACTGGAGAAATAAGCTTTCATTTTAAATCCAACCTCTGTTAATTTGCAGATATTGTATGGACATATAAGTAGAAATCATGCTCCATTATCCATTTGTTCAAGTGATAAGCATTGTCAGAGTTAACAAAAATGACTAAATCATAGGCAAGGCCGTTGAGTGTATTATTTCTTCCTTTACCTTTAAATTCATTGGTGTTACTACAGGTACTTGAAATGTCTTTTAAGATAGGCTTTACTTATACATTATTGTTTACTAATTATTTGATCTTTAAAGGATTAAAATATCTATATGGCCTATTCTTTTCATCTGCTTTCCAATTAAATATAGATAAGAAGTTTGGGTATTTTATTCTTTCCAAAATAGTGTTACCATTGAGAATCCTGAAGGAGAAAGTACATGTGATCATGTATAGACAGCTTGAAAGTACATATATAGATCCCTCTGTGTGAATTTTATTGACTATAATTCTGATTATAGGTGAAACTACATAAAATATTATAGTTGTATATAATTTATATTTCTTTTAATGGAAGAAGTAAACTCAGTCATCAACCTTATGATAATTGATAAAGTCTTAATTATATTCTGAGGATAAATAACAAATTACATTTGCACTAATAAAATGTAAAATTTCATAGAACAACCATGAACTGGTATGATAGTACTCCCATTGTACAAGCAATTCAGAGATTATGGAATATTTCCACAAATTGGTAGTTATACTTGGGAAATATTTTCTAGTCTCTCTCATATTAAATGCCCTTCCTCCAGGTTAAAAGCTATAATTTGATATCAGGATATGGAGGACTATGAGAACATACAGAATAATATTTTATATAAAATTAAAAATTTAGCCTAGGCTGTTGTGGCGTAGTTGGTTGAAGTGTCATTCTGTGCACCGAAGGATCATGGATTCATTTCCTGGCAAGGGCACATACCCGGGTTGCGGGTTCGAGTCCGGTCTGGTGGTATATGGGAAGCAACTGATTGATATCTCTCACATCGATATCTGTCTCTCTCTCTCTTTCTCTCCCTCTCCCTTTTCTTCTCCCTCTCCCTCTTCCTCCACCCCCCCCTCTCTCTTCACCCCCTCCCCCTCTCTCTGTCTCTCCTTACTCCTCCTTCCAACTCTCTAAAATCAAAAACATATCTTCGGGTGAGGATTAAAAAATAAGAATATAAACCCTGAATTTACTGTCATAGTCTCCCAAGGAGTTATTTAAAGAGAGTACTCATTTACAGAAGGATCTAGTAAATTGGCAATTAAAAATTATTACACAATAAAAATTTTGTTTTTGTTTTTAAATAGCTTTAGGTTGGTCTCAACCTTGTGATGTCTGGAGCATAGGTTGCATTCTTATTGAATATTACCTTGGTTTCACCGTCTTTCAGGTATGTATTTAATGAATATTGTTAAGTTTTAAAGGCACATAAAATTTGGCTTCCATGTGAAAAGTTGCCATATCTTAACCATTCTTAAGATTAAAATTTACATGTGCAAAATGGTTATCCTTCTCTAAAACCATAGTTGAATGAAAACTCTTAGTGGTCAGTTCATTTTATATATTATTGGAGTTTTTAACACATGTTCATACAGTGTTATGTTTCCATTTTTTGTTACAGATCATCTTCATAAATTTATATTAGCACTACTGTAACCAGGTGTTTTATTTGTTTGTTTTTTGTTTTTTGTTTTGTTTTGGGGGTTTCTTTGGTGAGTTTATTTGAGCCTTACTGTCGACAAATGCCGGGAAGCAGAACCTCAATTGTTGTTTTTTTTAATTAAAATATTTTTATTAATTTTAGAGAGGAAGTGAGAGGGAGAGTGATAGAAACATCAATGATGAGAGAGTCATTGATTGGCTGCCTCCTGCACACCCGCTACTATGGATTAAGCCTGCAACCTGGGCATGTGCCCTGACTGGAAATCGAACCTAAGACCTCATGGTTCATAGACTAATGATGCTCCTGAAACCAGTTTTAATTCAGTTCTGGTTGTATTCAGTTCTGGTAGCCTATGGCTTTTTTAAACATATATAACTTCAGACAGGAAGGGAGAGGGAGAGAGAGAAACATCAGTGATGAGAGAGAATCACTGATCAGCTGCCTCCTGCACACTCCACACTGGGGATCAGGCTTAAATACTGGGCATGTTCCCTGATTGGGAATCAAACTATGACCTCTTGGCTCATAGGTTGGCGCTCAACCACTGAGCCATTCCAGGCAACAAGACACTTTTTTATATAAAAGAATTCAGGAACAGTAAGTTGTATTTTATTCCAAGTTGTATTTGATTAACCATATGTTACACTCTAGGCTTTATAAAGATAAAAGACAATATCTATTCAAGGAAATCATACAAAACTATTGTTAGAGGAAGAGTAGGAATTTGTCAGAAAACTGGAGTGTGAGGGTCATGTCAGGAAAAGAAATAATTTTTTTCAATGTTTTTAAACAGGGAAGGAGGGAGAGAGAAACATCAGTGATGAGATAGAATCATTGATCCATTGCCTCCTGCACACTCCCTACTGAGGATTGGGCCCACAATTCGGGCATATGGCCTGATCAGGAATCAAATCATGACCACCTGGTTCATGGGTCAACACTCAACCACTGAGGCACACTGTCCAGACAAGAAATAGTATCTTATATGGGTACTGGTTTAAAGGCACATATTCCTGTCAGGGAAGAATAAATGGTGCGTCCGTCTCGCACATATAGGAAAATGGTGACAGTAGGCAAGGACTGATGGATTCATAATGGATTTGTTCTCCATAAAAAGATACTTGTTTTTGCCGAAACCGGTTTGGCTCAGTGGATAGAGCGTCAGCCTGTGGACTCAAAGGTCGGATGTTCGATTCCAATCAAGGACATGTACCTTAGTTGCGGGCACATCCCCTGTTGGAGGTGTACAAGAGTCAGCTGATCGATGACTCTTTCTCATCGATGTTTCTAACTCTATCCCTCTCCCTTCCTCTCTATAAAAAATTAATAAAATATATTTTAAAAAAATACTTGTTTTATCTTAAAAGTTAGTGGTTTTCAAATGTAGACTGGTCCAAAATTAAAATGATTTTGTTGCTATTTGGCCTTTTTTTGGAGATTACTACCAAAACACCCAGGAGGAATAATGTATCCCTTTTATGAAAACTTATTTTAGTTGTGATGTGGTCAGGGTGTTTTGGCCTTCTATATTGTGATTGAGGGGAGGGGAGTTCAGTTCAGGAAGTTCTGGTTCATAATAAGGTTGAAGTTATATCAAATAGCGTGGGGAGAAGCTATGAGTTTAGACTTGGGTAGCTATTTCAGGGTGTATGTTCTCACTTTTTCTGTTTAATCCATAGAGATCCTGTTAAGATTACTCTTGAGTTTATAGACAAAATTGATATCTAGAATCATGGTTATTGGTTAATTCAAGAAGATAGTGTCTGGTTTCATGGTAATAAATGATAGGGTCAAGAAAAAGTTAAGCAGAATACATGCTATCTTTGTAATGAGTTTGTAATTTAAATTACAGAGGTCTTAAGTGAACTGCAGATTACTAACATTGGTTTGAGATCAGGTTTATATTTGGATTTCACCCTACAACATATTCTTCAACTAAGGAATTTTATTTTATTTTTTTAAATACATTTTTATTGTTCATATTATTACAAATGTTCCTTTGTTTCCCCCCCACACCATTGCTCTCCTCCACCAGGTTCCCACCCCACCTTCTGCCCTTTCTCCATTCCCCATTGTCCTCATCCATAGGTGCACAGTTTGTGTTCAGTCTCTTCCCACATCCCCTCTCCCCTTTTCCCCAAAAATCGTCAATTTACTCCCCTTCCATACCTCTGATTCTATTATATTCAACAGTTAATATTGTTCATCAGATTTTTTTTTTAATTTCCTTGGTTTTTAGATTCACTTGTTGACAGTTACGTATTTGTTGTTCATAATTTTTATCTTTATTTACTTTCTCTTCTGAAAGAACCCCCTTCAGCAATTCATATAATTCTGGTTTGGTGGTGATGAACTCCTTTAGCTTTTTTTTATTAGTGAAGCTCTTTATCTGACCTTTGATTCTGAGTGATAGCTTTGCTGGATAGATTATCTTTGGCTGTAGGTTCTTACTATTCATCACCTTGAATATTTCTTGTCATTCCCGTCTGGCCTGCATGGTTTCTGTTGAGAAATCAGCTGACAATCGTATAGGTGCTCCTTTATAGGTAACTACCTGCTTTGCTCTTGCTGCTTTTAATATTCTCTCTTTGTCTTTTGCTCTTGGAATTTTAATTATGATTTGTCTTGGTGTGGTCCTCTTTGGATTCCTTTTGTTTGGAGTTCTGTGCATTTCCTGGACTTGTAAGTCTTGATTCTTTCACCAGGTGGGGAAGTTTTCTGTCTATTTCTTTCAGTATGTTTTCAATATCTTGCTCTCTCTCATCTTCTGGGACCCCCATAATTCTGATGTTGGTTCGCTTGAAGTTGTCCCAGAGGTTTCTTACATTATCTTTAATTTTCTGGATTCTCTTGCCTTCTTGCTTCTGAGGAGGAGTGTCTTCTGGCTCTTTATGTTCCAAATCTTTGACTTGATTCTTGCAATCTTCCAATCTGTTTTTAGGACTCTGTATAATATTTTTTATTTCAGACAATGTATTCTTTATTTCTTGTTGATCCCTTATCATTTCTTGTTGATTCCTTATTAATTCTAGTTGATCCTTTTTCATATCCTTATAGGTCTTATTGACCTTTTCTAGGAAATTCTTGAAAAACCTTATAAGTGTAGATTTGAACTCTATATTCAGTCACTTTTTGTCCTCCATTTCTTTTGTGATCTATTTTGTTGTCTGGGCATTTTCGCAGCCTCCCTGATGGGGCGGCGTTTCAGGGTAGAGCCTACAGCCTTGGCTTCCATCAGCCCCGCCCTATGGGGCTCCTGGGTCTCAGTAATCCCCAGGGTCCTTCAGTACTCGCTGCAAGCACCTCTGAGAGAAAGGTGCCCTCGATTTTTGCCTGCTACCAAACAGTCTAGGCTCTCCCCCAATGAGCCCAGAACTGGGGTTCAGTTCAGTTGGAAGTGGAGTTGGAGGTGGCGTTCAGAGCAGTCTGGAGCCCCTGTCTCCTTCCCGCCAGGGCAATCCCGCGGCACAGCCAACCGTCCCTTCTCAGTGCGCAGTGTGCACGCCTCCGGGACCTCCTTTCACCACTCCCTCAGGGTTCCGCCTTACCGCCCAGCTCCCTCTGGATGAGCCAGGGTCCCCGGGGTCTGGCCTAGAACTGGGGTTCAGAGCAGTCGGAACTGTGGCCCAGCACAGTGGGAGCTTTTATCTCCTTCCTGCTAGGGAACGCCAGCCAGGCACTCAGCTTCCCTCCTCTCCGGCTCCGTCCTCTCTGTGCGCACCGCATGTCTCTGTACCTTAGACTTTTACAGCTCCTCCGCTCTTCCTTCTGGTTTTCTCCTTGCTTCTCGTTGTAGAATTTCCAGTCGGTCAACTTTCCTGTAGTTCTGGGTAATGTCCATTTTATATTTTAGTTGTATTTTATTGAGATTGTTGTATGCTGCTGCGGCTAGGTGTTTACCTGGGCAGCCATCTTGGATTCTCCCCTCAACTAAGGAATTTTATTAAAATGTCCAGCTATTATGTTTATTCCTGTCTTAAATTAAGTATGCAATGTTTTGAAAGCAATGTGCCAGGCATGGCAGTTGATAGATTTTTAAAAAGCATTACACACAACCTCTGCTTTCAGAACAAGGGTTGGCAAACTATATCCTGCCTGATGCCTTCTTTAAAACACACACACACACACAAAAATATGCCACAGAGAGTAATTGTGACCATCCACAGCTAAAATATTTACTATGTGGCCTGTTACAGGAAAAGTTGGCCAATTTCTGCTCTAGAAACATCCCATTTTAGCTGTGTGACATTTTTCTCTGTTCTACTTCAGTAAGAGCTCTGTTAATATATAGTTTTAAAAATGAGTTTTGACTTGGTTCATAGCTACACTTCCTTCATTTCTGAGCTCTGTGACTTTGAGCTAGTATCTTTACCTCTTTGAAATTCATATTCCCACATATCTAGCTCAGGATTATTGTGAGAATTATTGGGACTATATTTTAATTGCTTAGTATTAGTAAGTAGTAATATGTTGCTATTCGTTGGGTAATGGAGGTTAGTTTTAATGAAGCGACTGCTTAAATGAGGACACAATATTTTTTATAATCTTCCCCAGTCATTCCTCAGTTAAAAACAGTGCAAGATTTACAAATAAGAAAACTGATCAACTTTACTTTAAAGAAATTATGCCTCTATGCAATACATTTCGGAAAGACTGTTTTATTTGGTTTGCACCAGATAATACAAGTCATTTGGTATTGTTCCTTATTTGAAGGAGAGTGTGATGTAAATTGTGTAAACTCTAATTTAGTCCTTTTATGTCAGTACTGTTTTCTTATGGTTTTCTTTCTTGTGTATACAAGGAAATGAAAAATGCTAAGTTTTTTCCCCCTATGTCTTTCAGACTCATGACAGTAAAGAGCACCTGGCAATGATGGAAAGAATATTAGGACCTATACCAACACACATGATTCAGAAAACAAGGTATGCTTTAAGATTAAAGACCTTTGTTGAGTACATGCAATAGCCTATATTCCAACTATAGAAAAACTCAACTTGGTGGTTATTGCTTTTTCCAAGGATTGCATAGTTTGAATATTTCATAAAGTTTTTAAAAGTAATGACAGTATTTACCTGTGATCTAGTAAACAAAGTGCTGGTTTTGACACTGAAGATTTCCTCTGTATAATTGTTTTCCTAAGTTTATATACAGATAATAAAGTAGTAAAGAGAGCCTGATTTGTAGTCATAGCAATTTGTTAGAATTCTATACTGATGTTAAGTCAGCTATATGTCCTTACACAAGGGGCACTGTAGTGGTTTTCAAACACACCTGCACCTCAGAAGTCATCCATGGAGTTCTTGAAAGATTTCCAGTCCCACCCCAGATCTGCGGAAAATCAGAATTTATAAGAATGGATCCAGAGGTTTCTATTTATTTATTTATTTTTTTCCCCCAGAGGCTTCTATTTTTAAAGCTGGCATTGTTCTCTGTGTACAAGATTATGGAAGTATTCTGTAAGCTGTCTGATATATAATTATTGCTAAGAGTTTTAAAGAAATGTTATACATAGAGATGCTTATACTTCATTTGTCCTGGTGTAGGCAGGGTAAACGTGGCTCTTTTGTTATTTTTACTAATCCAGATTTCTTCTTCCTATAGAAAACGCAAGTATTTTCACCATAACCAGCTAGATTGGGATGAACATAGTTCTGCTGGTAGATATGTTAGGAGACGCTGCAAACCATTAAAGGTAAAAGAAAAAATGATTTAAAAGTTTAAAAAATGTTTCATCTATTTATAAATATCTTTCTAAAAAAAAAACATTTTCCCCCCCAGGAATTTATGCTTTGTCATGATGAAGAACACGAGAAACTGTTTGACCTGGTTCGAAGAATGTTAGAATATGATCCAGTGAAAAGAATTACCTTAGATGAAGCATTGCAGCATCCCTTTTTTGACTTATTAAAAAACAAGTGAAATGGAAATCAGTGGTCATAACTGTATACTTCTCTGGAAGAGATTACTTAAGACTATCAACTCGAAACATTCTAATATTTTTGTAAGCATTAAATTATTTTGTACAGTTAAGTGTAAATACACTATGTTTTATATCAATAGCATAATTATCTTGTTAAGCAAGTATGGAGTACGGTCTTGATAGTGAATGAAATATAAAAGTTAATTTTCCTTTTTGAGATTAACATTTTTAAAAGACATTTGACTATCTTTTGTGTCCAGTGATAAATGTGATCTTATCTTTTATACATGGAGGCAGAATTTTAAAGTTTTGTGAGTTTTTGGTTTTGTTTTATTTTTTAGTAAAAGGAAATCTTGACTACTTTATTCTTAATGAATGAATATTCTTTACCTCAAATTCGGAACCTTCCTTATATTTAAGTTTTTTCTGTATTGTTCAACAAGTAATAAGTATTAAGAACTCTATCTAGCCAGGTATTGGAAATCAGAACCCATCAGAAATGTTTATTCTTGGCATTTTATTGTAAATATTGCGTGTTGTCTCCATGGGAGATGTTAGTACTAAACCATTCAGTTTGTCTATCATGACAGGTTTTTAAAAACCACATACACGCTTCTTTTAAGATTAAAGTCTTAACTAGAAAATCAGCTTGAAAAGTCCTATTTTCCAGTAGCTAATTAGTGAGTCACAAACATAGAAACCAGAATTCTAATAACTGAGGCGCTAATTTTTAATGTCAAATCTTGAGGAGTCTTGAAAATGTCTCACATCTGTTTCCTTATCAAATGAGGTAAATATTTAAACCTTAGCCTATTGGAATTAAGGTTATAATTAAGCAGTTTATATTTGTGTTGATTTCTACTAGAGAAAAGGAATGATTGATTGGAAAATATTTGGAGAAGAAAAGCAGAAATTTCTAGACCCTGACATGGTGAACCTCACATTAAAATTACATGGTAAACGTTATTAATTTAGTAAAACAAAAACTATTGGTTCTATTCAGTCTGCCAGATGGAAAAAAAATTTTTGTTGTAGAATTTATAATTGTTGAGATGCAGGTTGTTTTTGTTAAAAGTATCCCCATTTTGTAAGTATGCTACACAGAGATTTTGAGTTTCACCTGTTTGTATATTTTAAACAAAATGCATGGAATTTTCTTGTATGACAAATATTGAAACTGGGCTTGGTTCCCTACATTATTCACAGGAGGCATTTGCCATTATAATAAGGCTGTGTTCTTAAAATTGACTAGGAATTTAAGAAAGCTAAAATAAATTTTACTATAAAATCACTGCATAAATTATGTTTAGGCCTCTGATACCATCTACATATAATGAATTAGATGCACTGAATAGTTGCACTGTATTATATGTATAAGATTTTTTAAAGGAACATTAGATGTAAAGAAGAGATTATTCCTGAATGTAGCTGTGTTGATACGGATTAGTAGATGCCTGCCATCCTTTGTTTTCCCCTTCATTGTCATTCTACCAGTGCCCCTGTACTATCGAAGCTTCTTGTACTACCTAAGCTTTGCTGTCCTTTCCCAGCAAATGCTTCAAGTTCCATAATGTTCATGCTCTCCATTAGAAACTCATTTTCTCAGCATAGCTGATCTTGGCATATAGGAATAAAGAAAATCATCCTTTTTTTCCTTCCTTTTTTTATTACCCAATGATATGTTTATTGGTTTGAGAAGAGAGAGAAACATCAATCACTTGCCTCCTTGTACACACCCCAACTTGGGATTGAATCTGTAATTTAGGTGTGTGAACCCCATGACCTTTTTTGTAATGGAATGATGCTTCTACCAAATGACTCACCCGGCCAGGACCTTCAGATTATTTATTACTAAATTAATCACTGCTAACCCCTTTTCCTTTCTGAAAAATAGGTACTTACATTCTCACAAATGGGATTTGCTAATTCTTATGCCTAATTCCTGGGATTTTAGGAATTAAAATGAAACACCAATAAATTAGGTAGGATGGAAAAAATGGTTAGTGGTTATTGTGGTACCCCTGGGATCGTTATCTGAATGTCTGCTGCCAGCTCTCCTCCCCCTCTTCTTTGCACTTGGGTCCATACTCTTTATTTTTTTATTTTATTTTTTTAGTATATATATATATATAAAAAATTGATTTCAGACAGAGAAACATCAATGAAGAAGATTATTGGTATCTGTCTCCTGCATACCCCCTACTAAGGCTGGAGCCCACAACCTGGGCGTGTGCCCCGATTAGGAATCAAACTGTGACCTCCTGGTACATAGGTCAACACTCAACCACTGAGCCATGCCAGCCAAGTGAGAATTTCTCATATTCAATATTTCATCAGAGTGGTATCCATTCCTCTGTTCCCATTCTATAAACTGATAGGAAAGGAGAGGAAGTTTTTCTAGAGTTCTAATAAAAAAGGGATGTTAGAAATAAACTATGTTGCAATTCAAAAATGGGTCCAGGTAACAGTCAATGAATGGAAGAGCTTTGGGTGAAAAATTCATGGAGAACTTTATCATAGATGCTGATAACATCTAAGGACAGTATTCATTCTGAACCTCAGATTGACAGCCTACTGTTGTATGGCTGAGGTTATACACACCTGTGAAATACTGTCTTTAAAAACAAACACCTGGATTTTAAAAAGCCTCTAGTTAAAATAAGCATTGAGCCATTTTTTTATGTCTGACGCTAATCCTTGTATCAATTCAGCAAGTTTAGAACTCGGGCTTACTGACATGGTTCCAACTTTATCCCAGTTCTCTGTTTAAGGAACTGTATGTTACTTTACTTCCTTACTTGGAATTACTTAGGAGTAATATCTGCATTATAGGGTGATTAAAAAGGTCAAGTAGAGTACCTGGTGTTCAGTGTCCCACTAATAAAAGGTACATTGCTGGTTGGCCTTTTTACTAAGATCAAGTGTAGGTATCTGTTCTTGTCAGTTTAACATACATCCTCTATCTAAGGATAACATATTAAGTGGATTTTTAGAGCAGGGAGACCGTGTGTTGACCTGGTAGTGCAGTGCCTTTGGAGAGCAGTGCCATACCCATTTAAAAAAAAAAAAGTATTTTGTTTTATATAAATGCTTTAACTCGGATATTAATTGTTTTTTTTTTGGCACAAGGAATTACTAAACTATCAATTATATTTTGACCCCTGTCATAGTTTTTTGACAATTGGAAGTGAGGGATGGAATTTTAAAAGAAATTTGGTTTTGTTTTTTTTTACCAATCAATGATATCTGCTATTCTGATAACATTTTCTTATATGCGCTGCTTTCCTGGTTTTAGTTTGGTTTTAAATGTTACAATTCTGGGACAAAATCTACATAATTAACAGGTAATTATTAAGACTTGAAATCACCCTAAATATCCTTTTGAGGAAGGCATCTCATAAGCCTAGTTCTTCCAGCTATTGTCACCAGCAGTTGCATGCAGTGAGATGAAATAAAGATTAATTGTGGATATGTAGGAATTCCCAGTGACTTTAAATGTTGTCTATTATAAATAAAAAATGCAAGTTCAGGGGTTTTTTTTAATTTATTAAGGTAGCAAGTTCAATTTTTTAACTTAAAAGCTGGTGGCACATGGCAAGTACAGTTTTGAGAATGAATGACAACAGCCCTAAATGATATTTAAAGTTATTTATAGAGTTTAATATTAAATAATGTTTTTTTAATTTATATTTTTCAAATTACAACACTTTTTGTGTGTCATAATTGTACACAGAGTGATGTTGGTGTGAAGATGCTTGCCTACAGAGTCAGATTGAAATCAGACCTTGATACCACCTATACAAGTGTATAGGAAGACAAGATACTATTCTCTAGTCTCAACTATGAGTTGGAATACTAATAACTAACTTCCCAAGGGTGATGGTGAGGATTAAATAAAATAATGTACATAAAGTGCTGGTATATAGTAGCTATTAATTGTTTTCACAGTATCTCCTATATTGATTTATACAAAATTTTACAGTCTGCAGATTTCTATACCTTGGGTTTTAGTCCAATATGCACCATGTGAAATGAGCACAAATAGATATTGTCTTATTTTAATATTAGCATAGTACAGTGGTCGGCTCACAAGCCACATACTCTTTGGCCCCTTGAGTATGACTCTTCCACAAAATACCACGTGCAAGCCGTACAGTGCAATTTTGTGGCCCATGCACAGAAAATGGTTTTCAGCCTGGGCGAGTCTATTTTGAAGAAGTAGTTCTAACGCTGAGCCACACTCAAGGAGCCAAAGAGCCGCATGAGGCTCTCGAACCTCAGTTTGCCTACCACTGTCATAGTACATTTTTTTCCATCCTTTTTATTTCTTTTAATTGATGATAGATTGTGTGTGTGTGTGTGTGTGTGTGTGTGTGTGTGTGTGTATAATATGCTAATTATCCATTATGCCATGAGGCACACAACAACCGACTTTGCAATGACCAGATCACAGATCTGCAGGAGGGTGGGGCAGCAAATTATAAGCGGGCCGCCCATAGCAACAGGAGGGGGCAGGGCAGCGCAGCAAGCTATTAGTGGAGGAGCAGGGCAGCGGGCAGAGAGCTACAGGAAAGTACAGCGACCTACTGGTGCACAGATTCATGTGCAGGGCTACTAATGTATTCTATTATATATATATATATATACACACACACACACACACACACACAGGCCCGGGTTGCGGGCTCCATTCCTAGTGGGGGGCGTGCAGGAGGCAGCCAATCCAAGGTTCTCTCTTACTGAAGTTTCTCCCCCTCCCTTCCTTCCTCTCTGAGAAAAAACACATTAAAAGGTGGGAGGCAAGCATCAGACTGCCCATGGCTGTGAGTCTCCTCTCCTGGTGCGCAGCCGCTCCCCTGGCCCCGCTCCCTGCTAATGTATTCTATTCTTACTGATATGTTCTATTTTTACTGATTTCAGAGAAGAAGCGAGAGAGAGAAACATCAATGATGAGAGAATCGTTGATCGGCTGCCTCCTACACACTGCCCAGTGGGATGGAGCCTGAATCCTGCGCATGTGCCCTGACTGAGAACTGGAACCTCCCAGTTGATGGGTCAATGCTCAACTGCTGAGCCTTGTTGGCCAGGCAAAGATGGCATTTTTAGAATCTTGCCTCTTAATGCCCTGAGTTGGCACTTCACCTGTGCTTTCAAAAGACAGTCCAGTATTCTGAGGCTGGCTGCTGCAGGATGTAATACAACCAGTGAATCTCATGGTCATGGACTCGCTCCCACAGCTCCTTTGCTGTATAGTGAGTCCCCTAGTCGAGTGCTATTGTATGGGACTCCATACCTGTGAATCAGGCCATCTAAGGATAGTGGTGCCAGCTGAAACTCTGCAGACAGGAAAGACAAGCCCGCGCCTTGAAATAGCTACCCATTCTTGTGAGGTGTTGGCAAACTGCTGGACTTCCCTGGATGAAGAAAGTCCAGAGTGGTTAATTTCCCACCAAGTGGTTTGCTGGTCACCCTGAAGATTAGTGCCTCTTGCTGACAGGTTAGCTCTTCAGAGACAGCAGTAGCTAGATTGTCCTTGGCAGGTGCTACATACACATTAATGTGGAGTACCTTCCCCCCTCTCCAGATCTGTTCGTCATCCCCAAGGCTCTTCTCTCTGCCACTGGGGGGCTGACCTCTGCACTGCATAATCCAGACTTTCTTACCAGGCTTTCTTAACTTGTGGGTTTGGTCAGTGCGAGGCCCCACAGATCAGAAAGTAGGAAAGAATTATTTTTATCCCAGCTCCCAAGTCCCAAAACTATGGTTTTGAAGAAATCGTATCCCTTGACCAAAGGCCACAGCTTCTGTTTGGTAGATCATAAAGTTCCCACAACATTTCACTCCCCTCAGCCCTTTAGCTAGGGGTGGTAATGGCCTCCCACTGTGGATACCTCAAGGTGCTTCATCAGCATCCTCTGTTGGCTTCCCTTAGTCTGCCCCAGTTTGTAGAGTCTGTTTAGACTGTCTTCAGCCATCTGTTTTTTCCAGGACTCTAATCAGACATCAGGCAGGCCTTTCTCCCTTGTCTTTTATAATGACTTGTAAACATATTTTCACCTTTTCTTAATTCACTTGATAAATATTTATTGAGTACCAAACTGCCAGATCCTGTTCTGTTCTTTGAGAAAACAATGATGAACAAGACAAAGTTAATAAAAAGGTAACTTCAGATAGTGATAAATACTCTGAGCCACTGAATAATCCTGAAGAGGAATCAGGTATAGCCACATTAGATTGGGCAGTCCAGGGTGGTCTTTTGGAGGCAGTGAGATTTGAAGACCTGAGGACTTTGAACTAAGGATAAGGAGGAGTTTGTTCAAATATCTGAGAGCAGGATGTTCCAGATAATGAGCTTGGCTTGATAATAGAGAAGCTTCCGGAATGTAGTAAACATAGTGCAGTAACATTAACTAGCAATGTGTAACTTAACCATGCATTTGGAAGAAAAGTAAAGTGCTAACATGTAATATGGTGTTGGCCTCTTCAGAGTAGATAATCTCAACAAGTATGTTTTAGACTATTTATTAGGTATACACTAGATTGTAGCATGCTCCAGAACCTATCTATAACCATCTAAACATAACCCCAATTTACATAAGTTTTAAAAGATAATCCACAGAAATAATCTAAAATACCCAGAGTGAGAGGGAAGACAGATATAACCGGTCTTTCTCTCAAAATCAATTGAGTTACCCAAATCACAGTTTATTATTTTTATTAGAGTATTAGAGGAGTTCATGGAAGAGTTACTTGGGGCCCATTTTAGGATATAAGTATGGCTGGTAGGAATCTGAGGGAGCAGAGAATCCCACCTGACTTGCAGCTTTTCGTCTCTTTCTTGAAAACACTGTTAGGGCCACTTAACATTCAGGCTTTCCTAACTTGTGTAAATTTGCAGCAAAACCACGGTATAGATTAAATATCCATACTGATTGTTGCTTTGGCCAAGTTGTGTTTCTACTATAGATAAACCATCATCTCAATAAAAGTTGGAGTTCTTTTTCTCCATCTTTTCCATTTTTAGTCTCAATTTTCTCAAATGGAAGCCCTCTCTAGGAGGGCTGACAAGTCCTTTAAAAGGCCTTGTCAGGGACAAGGTCTTACAATGTTTGTTTCCAGCACCCCATGCCTGGCACATAATAAATGTAGAGAAATTCAGATTCTAAGATTAAGATTCTGCTTGACCCTGACTGTGAGCGCGCTGCGATCACTTTCGGCCACCAGTCGGCGCTAAGGCGCCGTCTAAGACGGACTCGCTACGTTTTCCAACAGGGTTTGAAGTTCTGAGCTTTTAAAAAGTTGTCAGCATGGTTAATGCACAAGTTTAGAGGCATTTTCGCCAGGCATGGATAATGCTCCAACCAGGAGTGGGCTGCAGAAGGCGCTCTTAGTCTCTGGGCGCATCTCAGACATCTCGGGATCGCAGGGGGAGCTCATTCTGGGGGGTCGCAGAGGTGCCCGAGCGGGTGCGGCCCGGCCGGGCCCAGGCCCGCTGAGGGCGGAGGTGCGTGCTGCTCACAGAGTCCGCCAGGCACGCGCCGGGGGCTCGGAGGAGCCAGCTCCCTTCCCGCTCCCGCTCCCGCTCCCGCCCCCTTGCCGCGCAGGGCTGACCGGGCCGCTCCTCCCCTGGGTGGGTCCCGGCTCCTTTTCTGGCAGAGTCTATCTGCATAGAGGAAACTGCCCAAAGTGGCTGTGGCGGAGCTGCTGGCGGAGGGGAAGGGGGCGTGCGCCGATCCTCTGCTGCCTGGAGCCCGAGCCCCGCGCGCCGGCCGACCTCGTGCCTAGGGTTCTCTGCCCGCTCCCCGCGAGCTCAGCCTTCAGCCCCGGCGCTGCACCGCCCCCTCGGACAGCAACACGCAGAGATCGCGCCATGAGCCCGGGCGAGCGAGACGGCGGCAGCGCGCGGAAGGGCGGTCCGGCGGGCGGCGGGGGTCGTCCGGCGGCGAAGGCGGTGGGAGCCTGGGCGGTGAGCGCGCTGTGCCTGCTGCTCTCCCTGGGCTCCGCGGCCGCCTGCCTGCTGCTGGGCGCCCAGGCGTCGGCGCTGCAGGGCCGGGTGGCAGCGCTCGAGGAGGAGCGGGAGCTGCTGCGGCGCGCGGGGGTCCCGGGCGCCCTGTCCGCCTGGGCGGAGCCGCACCTGGAGCGCCTGCTGCGCGAGGTGAGGAGCATGGGGGGCGCTTCCAGGAAAGGGGTGCATGGGACTGGGGGCGGGGGGAGTGTCCGTGCCCTGGGAGCCCCGGGCAGGGTGGCCGTCTCCCCGAGGAGGGTTTGCCCGCTAGTTCTGTGCACGCGAGTCCACCGTGGTGGCCTGCGCGAGTAGCTGAGGTTGGCAAAGCCAAGTGCCGGTCCCGAGGGGTCCTGCTGCCCATCCACCAGCCCCAAGGTCGCGCTGCAGCGCTAGCGGCCTTGGGAAGCGTGAGTTAGAAGGGCCCCGTTTGGGGAGGAGTTAGAGGGACAGAGAGGATCCCCGGGGGTATGCGCTCTGACCGGTTGCTTCCCTGAGATGCACGCAGGGATCCTCAGTTGTGCCGTCATAAGGAAGAGGCTCCAGGGGGAGTGTCTGGAGTGTGACTCTCATCTCATCATTGGCAGCAGCTGCTCTTTCCCACGCTGGTGTACCTGAGAGGGGCGTGGGGCCCCAGCCAGCAGGGGCCACGGTGGAGGAAAGCCCCAGACAGACCCTAAAGCTGGGACCTTGAAGGTCAGCCCAGCCTGCGCGCGCGCGCGCACACACACACACACACACACACACACACACTGCCAGAAAAATTTGTTCCGAGGCAGCCCCATCCTGGAGATGCTGTGCTCTGGAGCTGCTGCCGTTGATTGCGCGCTCCGTGCCACCGATACCTGAAGGGAATGCCCACATGAGACCGGCAGAGGGAGGGGAAGAAAACAATCTGGGCCAAAAAACTGGGTGCCAATCTCAGTCTGGGCCAGAAAACTGGGTGCCAAACCTGGGCGGTGCAAATACATCTGAGTCTTCTTGAAAGCATATAAGACTGACGCTTCGGTTACAGTTGCTGCATTTGTGTCCTCAAAGCCCTCCCCCAGCTTTTGTGCAGCAGTGCCTCTCCCCATAGGACCAGAGAGGCTGGACAGACTAGAACTTCCCTGGCTGAGCCCGGCTTGCCTCCTGCGGCCTGGCCTCCCTGTTTGAGCCATCCTCTTCCTCCTGGGAAAGATGGATCCCAAGGGCCCTGCTCAAAGGGGCATCTTCAGTTGTAGCATGAAAAGCACGTGTTTCAGAGTAGAGGAGAGGAAGGACCGATCTGTTACTACCAACCCCCGGAATTGTGCAGAGCTGTGATCTTTAAGTAAGGTATTCATCACTGAGAGAATTTGGAATCTTTGGGGGGAATGGGAGAAGACAGCACCACACGTCCTAGTTCACCATACCTGTTTCTTAGCCCTTTAATGTAAGCCAGCATTGCATCCTTCTTGCTTGGATGTAGGCAAAATTGCTGCTTCATGAAACGATTTCCTCTTTTTTCCTGGAAAGTGTCTGCAGACTTCAGAAATCTCTCCAGGGTCCTGCTTGGCAACTCCTGGTGATGGTTTCATAATTGCAGCCCCATTATCTTTTGGCAAATCCCTAGAGACCAGAGTGTGGAACTGATTTATGAAAGGTCAGTAGAGTTTCTACCTGTTAGTGCTAGAACTGTGGCTTATTCTTTTGGATAGGAGACCCCTCTGAGTATAAAAATAAACCTCAAGCCCGGATGGAGTAAATCAGAAATCCCAGGAGAACCTTTTGCAAAGAACTTTTAAATTGTGTTTATTCTAATGGGGGGGGGGGGAGGTCTGGGAAAGCAGCCACTTCTGAGGAGTGTGGATGGATCCTCGAGTCCTGAATTTGGAGGGTCGGCAGGGAGAGCTGTGGCTTCCTGTGGCTCAGAGCAAACCAAAGTTCATTCTCTCCCCTCTCCCCTCTCTCTTCTCTCCTCTCCCCTCTCCCCTCTCCTTCCATTAGGAAGGCAAAGGGAACATTTTGGAATCCTGGGATTTCTACTTCAGATTTGCTGCACAATTCAGCATTCTGACATTAGCGTGTACACATCTCAACATATCCCACAACTAAGTAACTAAACCTGTCATCTGAGAGGCATGTGCTCAGAGTACTAACTGGCCAGTTTTTCCATCCCAGTGGAGCATCAGAGACGCCACGGTGTGAATGCCCTTGGGGCTGAGCTTCTGGCTGTTTGCGTGCCCCCTGTGAAAGGTGTCTGTCTTCCAGGGCCATGCTGTTTCTGCTTCTACCCATTCTTCTCCCAGATGTCATTGTCTGGGAAGTGTGCACACCCTGGCTGGTAACCCTGAGAGTCCCTGGCAGAGAGGAAGGGGCTGTGGGAGGCACATAATGGCGAGCTGGAAATTGGCTTTAAATGGATGGGAAGATATTTTTTGAACTATTAGGTATAAAAGACCAATGAGCTGAAAATAGCTTCAGGAAAGAACATTTGTACTTGAACATGTTTTTCAGTTCTAGTTTGTTTTCAGTGAAGCCTTTTTAAAGCTGGGGTTGAAGTAGTTGTGTGTGAGAGAGAGTGCCTGCAGGTTGTCCTTTTACCAACAAGATTGTTTTCAGAGTTTGGGAGGCAGAAACCACATCCAAATTAAAGAAGAGAAATCCTTACCAACCACACGCCACTTTAAAGTCAGAAAAAGTTTATTTTAAACAAGCCAACAAAAGCCACTGTTAATATGGGGCCCACTGTGTTTGTTCCCTTGGGAACACAACTATGAAATAACTTATTTGGGACCGGCTAATGTGCCTGACAATGAAGACCCAGAAGCTACAATAAGGAGATATTCATGTTAACTGGTGATTATCCTTCCATGCTACAAAATAAGAGAAATGGTTTTCAGTACATAAAAACAGGGGCCACGGTGAAGGAAAGCCCCAGACAGACCCTAAAGCTGGGACCTTGAAGATAAAAACAGGATTTTTTTTTTTTTTTTTTTTTTTTTTAGCAAGAATCATTAACAATAGCATCTCTAGTATGATCCAAAAATATAAATGCAAAACAAGCATCTGATATATGTTTTTAAGGTGCTTTAAATAGGCTGCCTAAGTAATAAACCCCCAATAGTTGCACCTATAGTTATAATATTACAAAAGCTTGAATTTTACTAGATTAAGAAAGTTTAATTCAAGCATGAAAGAAACATTAAGTTGTATTCACAAGTCATTTCCAGCTTTCACTGGACTTATTGTTGGCTATTGGTCTTCCACTGTCCAGACCAGTCCGTTTAGAAAACAAGAAAAACACAGAGACCAAGGGTAAAATTCAAGCACTTTCCTTACCTACCTCAACTAGATATATTAGTTGTTACCGTAAAACCCAGAATCAACTGTAGATTTTTCAGTCTCTGTCACTTGTCAGGACTGCTCTGTGATGTTCATTTTAATAAAGAGGCTCAGTTTTCAGTCCTGTGGCTAGAGATGGATAACTACATTTGTCCCCTTAACATTTCCTGGCTCCCAAACCAAAAAACTTTCTGTCCAATACTTTCTGGCACGCTCACTTTCTCAGCTCTTTTTGTGTGTGTGTGGGGGGGGGAGGGGGTGGGGGGGGGAGGATTGAGCCAACTGTCAGGGTATTCCTTTCACAAACATTTTTTAATTGCTAAATTGGACTTTTACATATTGGCTTTAAAAAAAAATCTTTATTGTTGAGAGTATTACAGATGTCCCTCTTTTTTTCTCCCATTTCCCCCCTCTACCCAGTTCCCGGCCCTGTCCCAGGCCTTGGCCATTCTATTGTCGGTGTCCATAGGTAATGCCTATATGCATATAAGATCTTTGTTTAATCTCTTCCCATCTCCCCCCACTCCCCTTCCCTCTGAGAATCGTCAGTTTGCTCTATTTCCATGCCTCTGATTCTATTTTATTCATCAGTTTATTCTGTTCATTAGATTTCTTTTTTTTTTTAATATATTTTTATTGATTTTGTACAGAGAGGAAGGGAGAGAGATAGTTAGAAATATCGATGAGAGAGAGTCATCGATCAGCTGCCTCTTGCACACCCCCTACTGGGGATATGCCCGCAACCAAGATACATTCCCTTGACTGGAATCGAACCTGGGACCTTTCAGTCCCCAAGCCGACGCTCTATCCATTGAGCCAAACCGGTTTTGGCTAGATTTCTTGTTTATTTTGATTTTTAGATTCAATTGTTGATAGGTATGTATTTGTTGCCATTTTGTTGTTCGTATTTTTTATCTTTTTCTTCTACTTCTTAAAGAATACCCTTCAACATTTCATATAATACTGGTTTGGTGGTGATGAACTCCTTTAGTTTTTTCTTGTCTGTGAAGCTCTTTATCTGACCTTCAATTCTAAATGATAGCTTTGCTGAGTAGAGTAATCTTGGTTCTAGGTCCTTGCTATTCCTCACTTTGAATATTTCTTGCCACTCCCTTCTGACCTGCATAATTTCTGTTGAGAAAACAACTGACAATCGTATGGGCATTCCCCTGTAGATAACTAACTGCTTTTCTCTTGTTGCTTTTAAGATTCTCTCTTTGGCCGAAGCCGGTTTGGCTCAGTAGTAGAGCATCGATCTGCGGACTGAAAGGTCCCGGGTTCGATTCCGGTCAAGGGCATGTACTTTGGTTGCGGGCACATCCCTGGTAGGGAGTGTGCAAGAGGCAGCTGGTTGATGTTTCTCTCTCATCGACGTTTCTAGCTCTCTATCTCTCTCCCTTCCTCTCTGTAAAATATCAATAAAATATATTTTTTAAAAAAAAGATTCTCTCTTTGTCTTTAGCCGGTGGCATTTTAATTATGATGTGTCTTAGTGTGGTTCTCTTGGGTTCTTCTTGTTTGGGGCTCTCTGTGCTTCCTGGATTTGTAAGTCTATTTCTTTCACCAGGTAGGAGAAGTTTTCTGTCATTCAAATAGGTTTTCAATATCTTGCTCTCTTCTTCTCGCACCCCCATAATGCAAATGTTGGTATGCTTGAAGTTGTCCCCGGGGCTCCTTATACTATCTTCATATTTTTGGGTTCTTTTTTTTTCTTTCTTTTTTTCTCTTCTGGTTGGGTGTGTTTTGCTTCTTCATATTTCAAATTGTTGGTTTGATTCTCAGAATCCTCTACTCTACTGTTGAATCCCTGTATATTATTCTTTTTTTTAGTCAGTGTATGCTTAATT